ATATACACAATGCAATACTACTCAGCCATAAAAAGAATGAATTCTGCCATTCACAGAAACATGGATGAGCTTGGAGAAGATTATGTTAAGTGAAATAAGCCAGGCACAGAGAGAAAAATACCACATGTCCTGTGTCATAAGTGGGAACTAAGAGAGAAATAAGGAAGGAAAGAAAGACCACAGTGGTGTATTGGACTTGAAGAGGGAGAGAACATACCTAGTGTTGTTGGGGTTGGAGGCGGGGTGGGGAGGTTGGTCAGGGTAGAGGGTGGGTGGGGGTCATGGGGAATGGTTGCAGTTTGTGGTAATGCGCATGCTAATAGTATTGATCTGATCATCGTGGACATACAGGTGGCAGTGGTCAGCTTTATGTCCCATGAATATGCATAATCAATAAAAAACAAAACAAAGCTAAAAAACATTTTTTGGAAGAAATGTATTGAAAAAAGAGAAGGGATGAGCGAAAACACATGGGAAGAGAGTATATATAGGAAGATACTACAAAAAGTTCATGGAAAAATAAAACTGAAAGAGAATTTGAATTTTTCCAACTTTTTGAAATACCCTCGTACATTCCAATCAGACTGGATTAAAAAGGGAAACTGAATTATATGCCCTTTACAAGATGCACGTCTTATATATGTAAGAAAATAGGTAAAAATCAAAGGGAAAAACATTGTTTCATGAAAATAAATCATAAAAAAGACAATGTGGCTATTAAGATCAGAAAAAGTAGAATTCTTATCCAGGGACTTTACCAGCAATAAAAGAGCATTGCTTAATGATGAAATGGTTGATTCCTCATCTAGTTATAATAATGCTAAATATGCTTACATCTAATTACAGAGCTTCAAAATACAGGAAACAAGAATTGTCAGACCTAAAGCGAGATATTCACAATTCCACAATTATAGTTGTAGATTTTAACCCACTTCCATTGGTAATTGATAACATAAATAGACAAAAGTATGTAAAGATATTGAACATTAGAACCACACTTTTAGCTAACTTAAACTAATTGACTTCAGTCAACATTGACAGGATACACATTCTTTTCAAAAGCACGTGAGACATGAGAAATGTACATTGTGCCATAAAGCAAATCTCAGTGACAAAAATTATAATGCAGGCTCAAAATCCAGGATCTTGTAGTTATCATCACCTCCCTATTTAGACCACAACAGACCATTCCATTCAAGCAGAAGAGGAATAGGAGGCACATGGTAATCACTAGTTCACAGCAATTTTGAATTCAATTGTCGGCATCCTCTACTCTGGCAGCAGAGAATGCTCCTTTACTGAAGCCCAGTTATGCTCTCTGG